AGAAGAAATAATTCTTGATAATACAGTATTGATAGATAAAAACCAGAAGAAGAAAATAATTCTTGATAATACAGTATTGATAGATAAAAACCAGAAGAAGAAGAAATAATTCTTGATAATACAGTATTGATAGATAAAAACCAGAAGAAATAATTCTTGATAATACAGTATTGATAGATAAAAACCAGAAGAAAATAATTCTTGATAATACAGTATTGATAGATAAAAACCAGAAGAAATAATTCTTGATAATACAGTATTGATAGATAAAAACCAGAAGGAAGTGGAAATAATTCATGATGTTCGATTAATGATAAAACTTGCAAGAAAGTGAAAATCTTCATGATAATATGGTATTAATATAGGTGGAGATGTAGAAAATGGAACATGATCCACCTATAATATTAACTTAGTTAGTTAAATTTAGTTACGATAAAAAGTCAAAATCTAATTTCTACCTTTGACGTTTAAAAATAAACGTAAACTGATTTTTAAAGATCGCAATATTTTTTAACAAAAAGTACGCTTTTGTACATAACATGTTTATTAACATGATCAAATATTTCTTACTCAAACTTTTGTTAATATCCTCATATAACGTGGAATGAACATAAAAATGTAACATATTTTCAGATATTTCTCATAATAGATCATTTATTATTGGACCTTTTTTGTATTGTGAGTAAAAACCAATAGATGGCACTACTTTATTAAGAGACAAAACGCTGCCCGCTGACTTACCACCATGTCCTGTGACACAGGCGTACACTAACCAACCAACACCAATAGCCCAAACTGTCCGAGACACAGCAGCGTACAAGGAGCTTACTGGTAGGTTAGGGTTAGCCTTGTAGAGGCCGTAGACAACACCCATGCAAATTCCAGTAGCCACTAACCACCCCAGGAGTACAAGCCACTGCAACAACACAACAATTACGTTCAGTACATTATCCAGCGGTTTATTTGGAGTGGAGAGACGTTCCCGACTTTCACAACTAATGCTTGAGAATGAAGAATTAATAGCTTAATAGTAAGTTTTTCAGCGTAAAAAAATTATCCCGGAGATAAACAAAAAACGTTATTAAGAAGAGTTATCTCTGTTATGTTTAAGAATTAGCAAAAGAAACAAAAAGTGTACTGGGTTATATTTTAGGGTTAACAAAAACGTATTTACCGAGTTATGTTTTAGGGTTAACAAAAAGTGTCAACTGGCTTAGTTGAATGTGAAAATTAGGTGGTAACCTGCTTATTTCTACAACTCTACTTATTTTTAATATTTCGCTTCTAGATTTCCAGCAGCTACTAAGCTACTACTTGGACATTAATAATAAAAAAATAATTACAAAAATAACATACACGTCAAAAAGGTGTATCGTTATTTCATTAATCAAACACAAAAAATGTTTCTTGATGCCTGTTTAAACAAACTTAAAGCAAGGAAGAGTACTGTACCTTGTTTATGAAGTTCTTCTTTTGTCCTGTGATATACAAAGCATAGCCCACAATAATACCTATCAGGTAAGGGCCAATTCTACACCAAGGCTTAGAATATATAACATCAAATATTGTTTCTTTTCTAAAATAAAAAAAATAACAGTTTACTCCTACAAGCTGTTGAAAATTGGATACAAATTTTCTCTTTTATAGCAAACTGCTTTAAGAATGAAAGGATTTACCTTTTAAGTGTATTCTGTTGTTAAGGTTACTCAATAGAACGGGGGCTAACGTTAGTCGAAATATTAATTTTAGGCATTGTTTGGCCTTGTGGCAGATCTCCGATTTTTCATATTTAGAATGGCGGGTTCGAATCTGTGTGATACCACAAAGTATTCCTTGCACGTAGTTCAAGCTTTGGTTGCATTATAAAAGTTACAATCAATCCCTTAAGTTGGATTGTAGGTAACAGGGGTGCTATTGACTGGCCAATAGTTCAAAAGTAGGGGTGGTGACCTTAGTAGCTTTGCCATAAGTACAAAATACATATACAAACAGGTGAAGGCGACATAATTAACAATGATGTATATTTTGATAAGAGAAGACAGAGATACTTGAAGAATTTCGATGCAAAAACATTTGTCTATTCGGTTAACTTTCACTTAGTGTTCGATTGAAGATTTTCTATGACAATTACTTGCTTGTAAAGACAATATCGTTTTCATCACTTGTTTGGTTCTTCCCAGCTTTAACCTAACTGCCAAGTGAATGGTGAACTACGTTTTTAACGATTGGTTCGGGTTAGATCAAAGTAGGTACGTCTAAAGGGAATATTTTATCAATACGTAAATTATGAATTCACAAGGCCACTTTTCACGACCCAATGTTTACAACGCTACTGTTCAGCACCAAATTTTCGTGATGCCATCATTCACTACTTAAGAGTTTTCAAGTTATCGATCTGGATAATTCAAGCACAGAAAACAAATTACCATTTGAATAGTTAAAAATGTATAAACAAATTCTTACTCTTTTCCGTTTTCATCACTTTCGGCCGACATCAACACCCCCCCTCCAACAGCTCCTCGGTCAACAGCATAAAACTCATGTTTGGTGTTCAACACTCCTATGGCCGTGAAAGATCCAAGAATGGTGAGAAAAATCAAACCCAAACCAATTCGTCGCCACCTGCATCAGAGGTTAAAGATTATAATACAGTGAGACAGAAATTAAAAAATTATAATACACCGGGAGAGAAATTAAAAAATTATAATACACCGAGACAGAAATTAAAAAATTATAATACACCAGGACAGAAATAAAAAATTATAATACACCGGGAGAGAAATTAAAAAATTATAATACACCGAGACAGAAATTAAAAAATTATAATACACCAGGACAGAAATAAAAAATTATAATACACCGGGAGAGAAATTAAAAAATTAT